AATATATAGGGAGACTTAACTTGGGGTGGTGAAGAACACACAGTGCAATATACAGATGATGTATTATAGAATTGTACACCTGAGACCTATGTAATTTTATTAACCAGTCACCCCAATAAATTCAATAAAAAAGAAAATATTTTTTACAATTTAAAAATCAAAACCAGTTAGATGAAAAAAAATTTAATAAATATACATAAAATATAAAGTATATAGGATATCAGAGAGTGAAAATGCTATGAAAAAAAATCAAGCAGAGAAGAGAGAAAGGGAGTATAGGGGTATATATTTTTTTTCTCCTGACTTTTTATTTTGAAAATGTTTAAAGAACAGTACAATGAACTCCCTATACACTGCACTTAGATTCACCAGTTGTTAACATTTGATTTATCTCTACACACACACACACACACACACATTGTTTTTTTGTTTGTTTGTTGCTCATCCATTTGAAAATAAGATGTAGATCTCATGACTCCTATATTAGTATTACTATTATTATACCTATAAAACCTATAATAATAAAAGTGTACTATGCTAATTAGACAGACGTCCTTCTGGACGAAGCCAGGGCTGCAAGGGAAGTCCGGGTCCTGGGTGCCAGAGGGAAGCCGGTGCTGGCAGCCGGGGGAAGGAAGGCCTACTCTTGCACAAATTTCGTGCATCAGGCCTCTAGTTAATAATAATTCCATACTATTATTTAACAAAAAGCCGATATTCTAATTGCCCCAAATTATCTTTTATACCTATAGAGTATGCATTTTTCTATTCAAGATTCAGTGAGTGTTCATTTGTTGCATTTGGTTGTTATACCTCATTAGTCTCTTTTGATCTAGAATCCTAGGATGGTTTTGACGGTAGAACCAGCAGCATTGCTGATTGGATGTTGAGTGTGAGGGAAATAGAGGGTGCCTAGTCTTGGGTCTGAGTACTGGAAGGATGCATTGTCCATGGGCAGAAATGAGGAACATGATGGCAGAAACCCATTTGAGGAGAAAGATGAGAAGTTCCAATTTGGACTTTAAGTTCGGGGTGTCCATTCTACATCATACTAGAGCTGTGAGGTTCACAGCTGAATTGGAGTCTTGGTGTGGGACATAAAATGGGCAAATAAACAGGCTTTGATAATTGGTTGGTCAGGGAAAGCCTCTCTGAGGAGGTGCATTTGTGCAAAGACCTGAATGAAGGGAGGGGTGGGCCTCTTTTTCGGGGGAAAGTGTTCCAGATGAGGGAACAGCAGGTGCAAAGGCCCCGAGTCTGGACTGAGCTTGGCAAGTTAGAGGAACAGCAGGACGTCGGGTGTGTCTGCAGTGGAGTCAGCAAGCGGGGGGCGGGGGGGAGGAAGAGCTGAAGTCAGAGAGATCAACAGGGAATAGAGCCCGTGGGGTAGTGAGCGGCTCTCGGCCTTGTCAGACCCAATGTCCTCTTCCTCCGACAAATATGCCCACTTACTCTCTGAAATTATATATAAAATACAGATGTGTTGCTGAAACCGGTTTGGCTCAGTGGATAGAGCATCGGCCTGTGGACTGAAAGGTCCCAGGTTCGATTCCGGTCAAGGGCATGTACCTGGGTTGCGGGCACATCCCCAGTAGATGTGCAGGAGGCAGCTGATCGATGTTTCTCTCTCATCGATGTTTCTAACTCTCTATCTCTCTCCCTTCCTCTCTGTATAAAAATCAATAAAATATATTTAAAAAATAAAATAAAATACAGATGTGAAACATAGCTAGATATGTAAATTTTTTAGTATTTTTATTTATTTTTTTTAGAAAGACGGGAAGGGAGAAAGAGAGAGAAACATCGATTTGTCGTTCCACTTATCTATGCGTTCATTGGTTGATTCTTGTATGTGCCCTGATTTGGGGGTCAAACCCGCAACCTTGGTATATCAGGACGACACTCAAACCAACTGAACTACCAAGATTTTTTTAAAATATGTTTTTATTGATTCCAGAGAGGAAGGGAGAGGGAGAGATAGAAACATTAATAGTGAGAGGGAATCACTGATGGCCACTTCCTGCACGCTCCCAACTGGGAATGGAGCCCACAACCCGGGCATGTGCCCTGATGGGGAACCGAACTGTGATCTCAACCACTGATTGAACGGTGATCTCATACTGGTCGGGCTGTAAGATTTTTAACAGTAAAGTACAGTTCAATGGTTTTATGATATGGAGTTGTGCACCCATCACCAGGATCCATTTTAGAACATTTCATTTCCTCAGAAAGAAATCTTGATCCCCTTAGCTATCACCCCTTAATCTGCAGCTCACCACCACCCCCCCCCCAGCTCTAAGCCACCACTAATCTACTTTCTTTTCTATAGATTTGCCTATTCTGAACATTCATATATAAATAGAATCATACAATATATGGTCTTTTGTGCCTGGCTTCGTTCACATAGCATGTGTTCTAGATTCATCCATGTTGTAACCTATACTAATACTTCACTCATTGAAATTGATTGCCAAATAATAGTCTGTTGTCCAGGTGGACATTTTCTTTATCCCATTGGACTTTTTTTAACTAAAGAAGAAATGAAAGTAAGGTGATTTGTCATAAAATCGGATGCATTTTAATATGTAGATGCTCGGCTAGGACCACCGCAGAAAAGATAACGAAAGGCTCATACCTAACATCGTCTGAGTGAGACAGCGGCAAATGCAGTGATCCAGAGGGTGGTATTGGGAATATAAATGGCGCCAGTGGCATCACTGCTGGTGTCACGGTTTTCTAAACGGATGAAAAGACTCTTGGTAAAGTTCAGAACAAAACAAAGTACAGTCTTCCCTTCGTTTCCTAAGAGTTGCAGGCCTGGAAAATTGCAGTAGATCTTAAAACCGTGCAAAAATAAATAAATAAATACCTGGCCCTTTACGTGTATCGTGGTGTTCAGAGATTTATAAACAGACTTGCCACAGCATGCATGTCAGGGGGACATCCAGGATGAGTATTCACTGTGAGGAGCTGCCCCTCACATTGTGGGTGCAAACATCCGTGGCCCTGCCCACTGAACGCCCAGATCTGCCCCTAGTCATTGCCACAACCAAAATGACTCCCTCAAATTCCCAGGTACCCCCAGGGTCTGGCTTGGGGGTGGAGAGGAGAGGCAGAGGTGAGAGAGAGAGCTTCAGGGGCTAGAATCCACAGGTCTGAGGAGGCGTGGGAAGGATTGGGAAGAAGGAATTTGTGTGTAGAAATGCTCTTGGAGACGAGAAAGGAGACATTTTGGGGGGTTTTGTTTTTTTAAAATATATTTTATTGATTTTTTACAGAGAGGAAGGGAGAGGGATAGTTAGAAACATCGATCAGTTGCCTCCTGCACACCCCCCACTGGGGATGTGCCCGAAACCAAGGCACATGCCCTTGACGAGAATCGAACCTGGGACCCTTAAGTCCCCAGGCCGACGCTCTATCCACTGAGCCAAACCAGCCAGGGCAAAAGGAGACAGTTTGTTGCGAAATATCCCCGCTGGAATTCAGATCGATCAATTTCGTGGCTGCAGAGGATGGGCTGCTTTGCCAGCTGGGAGAGGGGACCACCATGGTCAGGCGACCGGTTCTCTCCCTGCCTTCTCGGGCGTAAGGTTTCGCTGCCTTCATTTTACAGAGCAGACACCTGTGTTAGATCGCGAGGGCTGCCGTAGCACAGCCCCGCAGACTCGATGGCTTAAACAACAAAAATTCATTTCCTTACAGTCCAGGAGGCCGGAAGTCCAAGATCAAGGAGTCAGCATGTCTGACTTCTGCTGAGGCCTCTCTCCTTGACCTGGAGCTGGTCTTCCCTCCGTGTGTGTTTGTGTCCTAACCGCCTCTTCTTATAAGGACGCCAGCCATAGTGGATCAGCGCCCCCATGACCTTGCTTAGCCTTAATCACCTTTTTAAAGGCCCCATCTCCAAACACAGTCACTGAGGTAGCGAGGGTGAGAACGTCACATATGAATTGGGGGGTGGGGGGTGGGGAGAGGGGAGAGGGAGGAACAATTAGGCCCATAATGACAACTACAAAGAGGTTAAGCAGGTGGCCATGGCTTAGGGTGGGAAGCCCAATGGAGCAGGACTCCATGAGGCTGAGTGCAGCTCCTTCACTATCTGGGTGGCCTGGGGACAAGTCCCTTCCCCACTTAGGCCTCAGGTGGCCCATCTGTAAAGCGAGACTAATGATGCCTTTTCTGGGGCTCAGAAGACTTTTTTTTTTAAATTGATTTCAGAGAGGAAGGGAGAGGGAGAGAGAGATTGAAACATCAGTGATGAGAGAGAATCATTGATGGGCTGCCTCTTGCACGTCCCCTGCTGGGGATCAAGCCCGCAACCCGGGCATGTGCCCCTAATGGGAATCGAACCGGAGACCCTTCAGTCCGCAGGCCATCGCTCTACCCAGTGAGCCAAACTGGCTTGGGTTCAGGAGGAGACTTGTAATGATAGAGAAGGAAGGGCGTGGGCACCCTGGCAAGCTTGGAGCGGAGTCCTGGGGGGCCCCACGGGGTCAGCCACAAAGCCTTCAAGGTGCTGGATGGAAAGGCGGTCCCAGCGGACCTAGGGGCATGGGGCAGGGTGGCCGAGAGTCTACCGAGGGGACTTGGGTTACCAGCTCTTTTTTAACTAATAGGGAAGCATTCCGATATATTTCCTCTGACTTTCAGAGAGAGAGTGGAAGGGAGGAGGGGGAAAGAGAGAAAGAAACATACATGGGAGAGAAACACATCGATTGTTTGCCTCCCGCACGCACCCCAACCGGAGCTGGGATTGAACCTGCCACCCAGGTACATGCCCTTGACGGGGAATCGAACCCTCCACCCTGCGGTCCACAGGCCGACGCTCTATCCACTGAGCACACTGGCCAGGGCCCGGTATTTTTTAACAACCAGCAGGACCTGCCGGCGCCTCTCCCGGGGGCCTGATTTGGGACACGTGAGAGCAGAGGTGGGAGTGACACTGCTGTCACTGTTCAGGCTGCAATGACCACCCTGATGATCCTCCCGCTCTCTCCTCACAGGCCAAGCTGATCGTCCCCAACAGCACGGCGGGCCTGATCATCGGCAAGGGAGGCGCCACGGTGAAAGCCGTGATGGAACAGTCGGGGGCCTGGGTGCAGCTGTCCCAGAAGCCAGAGGGCATCAACCTGCAGGAGCGCGTGGTGACGGTCAGCGGCGAGCCCGAGCAGGTGCACAAGGCCGTGAGCGCCATCGTGCAGAAGGTACAGGAAGACCCCCAGAGCAGCAGCTGCCTCAACATCAGCTACGCCAACGTGGCGGGCCCCGTGGCCAACTCCAACCCCACCGGCTCACCGTACGCCAGCCCCGCCGATGTGCTGCCCGCGGCGGCCGCCGCCTCGGCCGCTGCTGCCTCCGGCCTGCTGGGCCCCGCGGGGCTGGCCAGCGTGGGCGCCTTTCCCGCCGCCCTGCCTGCCTTCTCGGGCACCGACCTGCTGGCCATCAGCACCGCCCTTAACACGCTGGCCAGTTACGGCTACAACACCAACTCCCTCGGCCTGGGCCTCAACTCGGCCGCCGCCTCCGGGGTCCTGGCCGCAGTGGCCGCCGGTGCCAACCCCGCCGCTGCCGCCGCCGCCAACCTCCTGGCATCCTACGCGGGTGAGGCCGGGGCCGGGCCCGCCGGAGGGGCTGCCCCACCTCCACCCCCGCCGCCCGGAGCCTTGGGGTCCTTCGCATTGGCCGCGGCCGCCAATGGCTACCTTGGGGCCGGGGCGGGCGGTGGGGCGGGCGGCGGGGGTGGCCCGCTGGTGGCCGCCGCAGCGGCCGCAGGGGCGGCTGGTGGCTTCCTGACGGCGGAGAAGTTGGCAGCTGAGAGTGCCAAGGAGCTGGTGGAGATTGCGGTGCCTGAGAACCTGGTGGGAGCCATCCTGGGCAAGGGGGGCAAGACGTTGGTGGAGTACCAGGAGCTGACAGGCGCCCGAATCCAGATCTCTAAGAAGGGCGAGTTCCTGCCAGGCACGCGGAACCGGCGGGTCACCATCACCGGCAGCCCCGCGGCCACGCAAGCCGCTCAATACCTCATCAGCCAGCGGGTCACCTATGAGCAGGGAGTGAGGGCCTCAAACCCCCAGAAAGTGGGATGAGGCCTGTGGTGTGTGCTCCCACCCTTCTCCTCCTCCTCCTCTCCCTCCTCCTCCTGCTCCTCCTCCTCCTCCTCCTCCTCCTCCTCTTCCTCCTTCTCCTCCCCAACTCTTGACCTCAGCTCGGTGTGGTCCTGCTCCTCCTGGGATTGGGGCTGGGGCTGGTCTGACTGCACCCCCCTCCCTTCTGGTAGTTCATAGGCAGGATTGAGAGATGGCTGGGGATGGAGCCCACAGCTCCCTCCCTGGCCCTGAACTGACCCCTCCTTCCTTCCTTCCTTCCTTCCTCCCTTCCTACGCTTGGCTGGGCCTGACTCCCCTCCCCCAGGGCCCAGGTCTGTGTGATATCTGTATATATTGCATTTTGTTGATTTTAATAGAAAACAAAGCGTTATTTTCTCTTTCTTTCCCTCCTTTTTTTTCCGGTAAGGATTTTGTTTTCCCCCTTGATATATATGTTTTTGTTTCCATATGGGAAGAGGGGAGGGAGCCTCTGGGTGACCTAGAATGAGGGGCCTCCCCCAAACCACACCCACCTCTCCTGCGTTCAGGTCCAGCTGGAGGGATGCAGTGGGAGGAGAGGTAGCTGAAATGGGGCATTTGCAGCAGGAACCCCAGTTCCTCAGCTACTCTCCCCCCATTGCAGTCACCCCTCCCAGGTGGGGCTTTTAACTTTTTGTTGTCAGGTTTATGGGGGGTGAGGGGGGGCTTGTGCTGCTGGGAATGAGGCCGGCTCTCAGACTGGGCCGGTCCAGTGGGCGAGACCCTTGTGAAAGGCTGGAGCCGCTGCCTTTGGCATCTCCTATGGCTTTTCCTAAAGTAATAGGAATGGAAGTCCTTGTTGTGATGTCACTGAGTCAAGTACTTTCTGGGGCGCTTCCGGCATCCCTTGTGATGTCACAGGAAGTAGTTCCCCAGAGGTCACTTCCCGTGATGCTAGGAGAGATAGGTACTTGCTATGACGTCTCCCGTGAGCCTTCCTTGAAGGTTACTTTCATGATCTCCTGGGGGCATGGACTGCCTGTGGTGTTTCCGGGGTACTTCCTGTGATGTCACGGGGACGAAGCATGCACTTCCTGTATTGGGCCACGGCCAGTTAGTGACTTGACCCTCTTTCTCCACCCTCGCCCCTCTATGGTGGGTCTTGGCCTGGGGGTCTTCCCAGGAGGAGAATAAGGGGTGGGACTTGGATCTGACCTGAAGGACTCCAAGGAAAAAGACCCAGTATTGTCAGGGTCACCTCCATCCAAACACACCAAGTCTGTGAACTCACCTGGCAGGGAGGGGCGGGAGATGGAGCTAGTGAAAACGACAGTCAAAGACCCCCATCCCTACCCCCCACCTTGTGTGTGCATGCTCGTGTCTGCGTGGCTTTGTTTCATTGAGTCTGGTGAGCCACGTGTGTGGTGGCTCTGTCAGGCCGGCGTGGCCCGCTGTCGAGGTCAGTGAGCCACGGTAGGGGCCCGAGGCCAGAAGGCTTCGCGTGGCCTAGTGGGTTAGATTGGCTTGTGGTGTCCAGCGAGCTGGAGCACTTTGGTGGTATCTGATGAGTCAGAAAGTTTTGACGCTCTCACCATAGGCTCTGAGGAGCTAGAATGTTCTGATGGCGTCTGCCAAGCCAGGCAGCCCTGAGAGTTGGTGTGGGAGTGGCTCCCTGAGCTCTGCGGCTGTGGTCAGATGGAAGGCCTTGTTGGCAGGCTGAGATTTCAGGACCTGACAACCCTGTAGACTTAGGCTAGCTGAGACCCACTTCTATCCCCATCCATCTCCCCCTCCCCCTCGGAGACCACCTCCACTTCCTCCGACCCCAAGCAGGGCCCCCAGGGCCCTGGTTCCATCATCAGCATCTGTGGGGGAGGGGCACCCCATGCCCACCCTCTCCCCCATTTGTCCCCTCCTACGTCTTCCAGACCCTTCTCTTCTCCACGGCTTTGGGGGAATCGGCCTCCTCGTCTCTCTCTCCCAAAAAAAGGAGGGAAGAAAAGCCCGAGACAATTCCCCGCCCCCCTAAAGCCCAGGAGACCACTGCCCCTTGCTAGAGAGCCACCCCCAAATCAAAATGTGAAAATCCCTAGAAAGCAATAGCCTTCAAGGTACCTTGCACTGAACTTCCCACCCTGGCCCTTCCACCTGGCGGGAGGCTGTAGCTTGGGCACTAGGGTTACCTTTTCCAGGCCCTCTCCATCTCCAGGGTGGAGGGCAGGCCCCACCTCCCCATCCCCTACCTCCTGCCGCTGCTGCCCCCGCCCACCCCCAATCTCCAGACCGAACCCCGATGGAGATCTGAGTGCCAAAACAATTCTTGATGTAACTTTGTACATATCTTCTGCAAGGGGGTGTCCTGAGATTGGAGGTGGAGGCGGCCCTGGGGGCCCTTGCTCCTCTCCGCCTGTCAAAAAGACCTTACAGTATTTCACAGTAACTCCACCCACATGTGGGCATTGCAGTGTCTAACTGGAATGTGCCCCCCTACAACTCCCATCCCCAGGCCCCCAGGAGGAGGGAGGAGCCAGGGAGAGGTACCGGTAAGGTCTGGGAGTGGGGAGGTGGAGTTTGAAAGTGCTCATTTGCATATCGTTTGCATCCTCAGCTGCCCTCTGCTTGTCAGATGTTTCCTGTACCCATTTCTGGGGGTCCAGTATCCTTTCACACAGACACGTCTCTGGAGGCTGGGCCTCCTGGAAAGTGTTCCTTTGGGATATCTGTGTGACAACCCCCTCCCTATTCACATTTCCCGGGGACGCCCCCCCCCCCCCCCAGCCCGCCAGCCAGGGTTATCTAGAAGGTAGCTTGCTAGCTCAGTGAGCGGGTTTACTCGCCCTGCTGGAGAGCGGACCACCACCCGCCTTTCTCCCGGTCACCCTGGGAAATGCACTCCACCATCTTCCGCATCTCCTGGAAGTCCCTTCTGCAATCTGACCTCAATCTTTTTGTGCTGCAGTTTGTCCAGAGGGGACGCGGGCGTGGAATCAGAAATGGGGATCATCGACAAACCCATCGCCTCTTTCCTCCCCTCTCTCCCCGTTAGCTGGTCAGGTCTCAGAGACGCTGAGTGGCTTCCTCGCACCCTGCTCCTCAGCACCCATTTGGTGCTTAATAAGTGTTTGCTGCATTGAATTGTCTCCCTATTCCTTTCCCATTTGCCCTCCGACTCCCAACATTCCCCCCTCCACCCCCCCCCCCCAGCATTTCCCTCTCTCTTTCTTTCTCTGACTCCCTATGGCTTTCTACTTCCTCTCCCTGTGGTTCCCAATGTCATCTGTCCTGTCTCTATCTTTTGTGGACGTCTGATTTCCCCTTCTCCACTCAACTCTCTCAACTCCCGCCCAATTTCCCCACTGATTTAAAAAAAAAAAAAAAAAGTGCCAAACTTCCTTAGAACTGAGCCGCTCTGGGGGGGAGGGAACCTCAGATAGGGGGCAGGAAACGGGGACCATTGATCTTGGAGGAGGCCCCTACGAGGCATTGAAAAAGTCTGTGGACACTTAGCTAAATTGGGTCCCCCTTCCTCACCCCTCCCACCCTGAGTTTTTCTTAGAATCTTTGTAAGAAAAGAAAAAAAAAGGAAGAAAAAAAATTCCCCTTCAGCTGACCCCTAACCTTTTGAATCCCCCAAATGCCACCAGCCAGGGAGAACCCCCACTTGCCTCCTTGGGGCAAAGCTGTAGAAACTGGGGGAGAGCGGAGACAAACTCAACCCCTCCTCTGCTGGCCCAAAGGATGGTGCCCACCGGATTGCAGAGAAGGACCTCAAGCACTTACGAGAAGAAGGGGTTCAATGTGCCAAATTCACCTCCTCCGTCCCCCGTCTGAGGGGGCGCTGAGCCAACCTGCCCCAGCCACCTTCTTCTGCCCCCGCCCGGCCTTCTCCGCATGGGCGAGGGGGCTCCGCTGCAATAATTCTTAGGGATGAGAAGGCAAAGGTCGTGCCATCGTTATCTGCCCTGACACCTGCCCTGGACTGGTAGGTGAGCATGACATGCATCACCATTGGCATTTAAGAGTCCATCTGTAGATGGTTGGGGACCAAATAGGGAACCGCTTTTATCTGCCTGGTATTTTCCTCCCCTGCTTATCCCCTAAGCCCCCTCAGTATTCCCTTGATCTGTGTCTCCTCCCCGGTCCTCATCCCACACCCTCCTCATCTCGTTTCTGAGTTGGCGGCCTACTGTTTGGAAAGTGAGCGGATTCCCCTGCATTGATGTCTTGCTCTGGCAAGACCAGGATTGGAGGTTGAGAGCGAGAGAGCCAGCGGTGGGGAAAGTGTTCGCGGAGAGTGGCGAGGAGGCGGCCACGTGCGCGTCCAGGCTGCTGCCTGGGGGCCCTGGGGGCACCCTGTGCCCACAGCCCCGGGGGTCTTCGCGGTCGCCACGCACCTGCCCGGCGGTCTGGCACCCCTTCCGGCTGTCTGGCTGTCTGTCGCCCAAGCCCGAGCTGGGTGTCACGAAGGGGAGACCGGGATCGCGATGCCCAGGTGCGGGCACTGCGGCCCGGGACCTGGCCCAGGGCTCGTGGGGTCGCCCTGCCATCGCGATCCCTCTCCGCCTCGGTCAGCGGCCTGGGCGCCACGTGGGGGGACTGGGTGCCGGGAGGGAAAAGGGGGAGTCTCTGTGGGTGGTGGGGGGGGAAGGCTGCTGGTTTTAACCCCTTCTCAGCCAGTCCAGGATACTCTTGTCTCCCAGAGATCATTGGGGGGACCGCCTAACCCCCCCTCCCCTCCCCCTCTCTCCCCCTCCACCCCACCCCCAAAACCACCAACCTCTCATTTCCTGAGTGACTCCATCACCACCGGCCACCGGGACCTGCGGCCTCATTGCTCCAGCCCAGCCCACTCGACAGTCAGACTTCGCTCATCGAACTTTTTTAATTAACCCTTTCTGTGTCCATCCCACGGAAAACTGTGTGTCCGGTGGGGGGGAGGGGGGAGGCGAGGGGCAGTAGCTACCTTTCCTCCATCTCCTCCCACCGCCCGTGCCTCCCCACCCGCACCCCATCCCACGCCCCGCCCCCATCCCTCCCCCCTAGGGTCCTCCCCGCCCTGGGGATAGAGACCCTTTATACAGTCTGTCTGGCTTTGTCCCTTTCCAAGGCGGGGGGTGCCAGGGGCGTGGCCTCCCCCCTCCCCAGCGGAGAGCTCACTCTGGCCCCACCCCTTCCTGTGCCCCCTCCCCACTCCCCACCCCTTCATTGTAAATAGTCACTTTTGTACTGGGTTTGAGCCAGAGGACGTGGGGAGTCATTTTTTTTTCTTTGTGTTGGCATCTCAGGCCCCTGGAGGCATGGCCCACAGCCCGGTGTGATTTGGGAGAATCCCAAGGTGTGTGCCCTGCCCCGCGCCCAATGCTAAGGGTTTCAAGATGATCAGTATTCGCCCAGAGGGAGGGGCTGCGCAGATCCTCGGGCAGGGAGGTGGGAGAAGTGTGAAAGCGTGTAGTCGGGACAGGACGACTCAGTTTTCCCCATCTGTGAAATGGGCTCGCCCTCCGGGCTCCCTGAGGAGCCTCTGGGAGAGAATGGTGTGGAGTCAGAGGAGTTCGAGTCTTTCCCCTTTTTCCGTTTGGGACAGACAGGGTAGGAGAAGAATCGGGGTGGGGAGAGGGCTGGAGAACTGATCGCTAAATCCTGATTAGGACCCTAAGCTAGCCTCTCCCAGCTTGTTCCCTCCCTAGGAAAATGGGGGACTGGAGGACCTTGAAGGTCCCTTGGATTCGAGGCCCAAGCCCAGGGCTGGCCCCGTCTGCTACCCCATCCCCACATTCCATTTCCTGGGCCCAGACCATCCGCCTTGTGGCCATGCCTCCAGTGCCTCCATTCAACCCCCTCTAACTGATTCCTTCCATCCTCTGCAACAGAGACGCGCCACCTCCTCCCCACCACCTCCAGAAGCTCCCGGCTGGGGCCCACTGCCTCTCCTCCCCCTCCCCCCATTGCCATGCCTGGGCCACGCCCACCCCACCACCCACCCCCAGTGTCCGTGTGTGACCTAGTGCACCATGTATTAGCTTCCATGGCCCCCACCCCGGCCCCCACCACACCCCCTCCCCCCACCCCCCTCCCTCGGCGACTTCACCTTTTTTTGCCGCGATAAACGCCATCTCAGCATCTGTGTCTAATGTTGTCTTTTTTGCTTGACATCACACACTCCTTCTTAACCCATCCCCTTCCCTCTGCCTCCTCCCCACACCTCCACCCTCATCCTGAATTCTTTCCCCCTCTCCCCCAGGGCTCTGGGCATCTAGGGGTGGCGGGTGGGGGGACCCCTGAGGATGGGTGACGGAGGGGCGGGGCTGAATGTTCTCTCTGGACGGGATGAGCACCCAGAGCAGGCTGTCTGAGGGGAGCAGGTGCCCCGGGTTTCGTTTCCAGGCCTCAGTGTCCAACCAGGAGGATGGGCACCGCCACATGGCACATCCTCGGCACCACGGTCCCGCAGACACGCTCCCGGGCACACACCCCCACACACAGCATTGCACAGGCACAACCCCACGCACGCCAGGGTAGCCTAGGGCCGTGGTCGGCAAACTGCGGCCCCTTGAGCGTGGCTCTTGCACAAAATACCACAGTGCGATTGAAACTTCGTGACCACACTCAACGGGCCAAAGAGCCAAATGTGGCTCGCAAGCCGCAGTTTGCCGACTACTGGCCTAGGGTTACGGTGTGGGAGTCCGTTGAGATCCGGGTTCAAGTCCCAGTGCTGCTATGGAACCCTGGGACTTTGCCCCTCTGTGCCTCCATCTCCCCATCTGCAAAATGGAGATTTTTTTAATTGTTATTTCTATGGCGTCTGCTAGGATTTAATACACCACTCGCTTCAAAGATATATGGAGCAGCTATGATGGGTAAGGCGCTGTGCTAGGTGCTGAGGGTAAAGCAATTAACAGACCCACACGCCTCTGCCTATTCTACTGGAATCTGGAAATTCTTCCTCAGCACAGAAGCTGGCACATGGAACTAAAATCAACTCAGAGGCTGCAAGCCGCCGCCAGCCGGCCTGGCTGGGGCACACGTCATCTTGTTTGGGCCGAACAGCGTTTGTGTGAATTCAATCCTAGCATTTCATCCTGGGGAGGCTTCTGGAAATCTGGCTTTCCAGCCCGTCTTGAGAAACTGGATGTGGTCTCTTGGGATGCAGATAACTGGATGAGTTGGAGAGTCGCTGCCCATCTTCCTGGGCAGGGGGCTGTGTCACAGGCCTGGCCCCTGGGCCCACTGGGATTTGCAGCCCCCATGCTGTGTGATACTAATCTCCTTACATGCGTGGAGGTGCCAGGTGATGAGGTGGCCAGCAGGAGGAAGGATAGAGAGGGAGAGGGAGAGACAAGAGACATGTCTAGGGAGAGGCCAGACGCGCTGGTTCTGAAGTGACCAGGGCACCTCCCTTCTTTCTGGATCTCAGCCTCCACATTTGGAAAACACCCGGGAGAAGCTGTCCTTACCTTCTGGAATATTCCAGAAGGATTCCACCAGCGAGTCACCTGACACAGAGGAGATGCCCAGCAGATAGTGGTCACTGGAGAGAACCCCCTTGGCTGAAAAACTGACAACAGGATTCTAGAGAATGGCAAGCCAAGAGAGGGGGGCAGGAGGGAAAAGGAGGCAGGTGAGACAAAGTAAGAGACAGCCATGGGGATAAAGACAAGGGGAGACGTGGAAAGGCGTCCTCAGCCGCTTGGGGTATGTTTTTTCATTTGTTCACTCGTTCTTTCATTCAACAGGCGTTTATGGAGCACCTATTATGTTCTCAGGCCTAGGGACATGGCAACAGCCATGACAAGTCACTGGTCTTGTGTTAAGAGCCTGTGAGCCATCTCCCCAACTTTTAGGAGGTAGTAGATGCTCAAAAATCTACCAGGCCTTGCTCACCGGCACCTCTGGTCCTGACCTGTGACCGTCACATACTGCCTGGTATTTAGAAATATCACCAAGTCGGGCCATTTTCAGGGCAGAGTATAGAGGAATTTTCCACCAGGAAGCCGAGAACTTGGAAGGGATTTGGAGGAGTGGGTGGAGTTTAGTCTCTGTTCTGCTGTGTGACTTTGGGAAGTTCTCATGACCTCTCTGGCCCAGGAGATGGAAAGGAAAGGACATGAGGCCAGGATGCAGGTGAGTAAAGGTGGATTCCTCACTCCCTCAAAGCCTCCACACCTCCTCTTGGGGGCAGGGGTGGGGGTGGGAGGGAGAATTGCAGAGGTCTGGTTCCTCGATGAGAAGAGAGATAAAGAAAGAAGACAGAAGAGGTCCCTGGAGGAAAAAGATGGCCCTAGAGACAGGGCTGGGCTGGGAGGAGGAGAGGGGGAGGGGACCTAGTTGGGGGTGTCAGGGGCTTAGGGGTGGCTCTGACCTTGGGGCAAGGTCGTTAAGA